AACGCCTGTGCAGCCAGCTCGTTTGCGAAATTCGAACCTCGAACAACATTTTGTGTTCAGCCACTTTACCGCTCGGCCGCTATTCGGTCTATTCTTAAAATGCAAACAGATGTTGTTTCTAGTCTATTAAGCTTATGGTCTTGATCAACATTTTGTGAAAGCAAAACAGAAGTATTTAAGCATTTATTTCTTTTCTTCTCCCCCCTTTTTTTCTTTTTTTCATTTGAAAGTGAAACTAAGCTCGATACCTCTAAAATATAACTAGTATTCTCATTTTTGAATGCTAGAAAATTCTTCTAATGTCATAAAATAGGTTGTCCTTAAGCATAAAATTTGCAGAGTCTTTTATTTAATGTTTCAAATAATTATGTTTAAATTTTATAGCACTGTAAAATATTCATTTATTTGTATTATTACCCTCTCAGACGTAGAGTAGCTAGGGAAGCCTATTGCGGTATTGAAGATCCGGGTCTAAACCCCGGATAAGGCATGGTTCTAATTGTCTGTCCATTGATAAGAGGTAACGGTGGCCCACCTATTAAGTGCTTCCGTAATAAAATGGCCAACACTTCCGTCTTTGGCCAAGCTAAGTCGGCTAAGTGCCCGACAGTGTGTGTGGGGGGGGGAATTATTAGACAGTTATTTTATGTGAAAGAACATTTCTATCATTTCTATTTCCGTTTTCCTACCAGAATGCAAGTTTTAGTTCGTGCGCATTCAAATTAGGTAGAAAGAAATGGGAATGTTTTAGACTTTTTAATCAAAGCGTGTTCCGCCTGAGAAAAGCCACGTTGATAGTTGAATCTCTGTCTGCGGCTTTGTGTTATTCTCGCAAGCATAAGCAGTGCCTTCTGCTAAATTACTAACAGGCTTTTGTATAGGCTTAATACTTGTCTATTATATTTTTCAAGGTTAGGTTAGGTCTTCCATAGTCTCAAGTTAGTTCATGTTTCCAAAGAAAGTGAGACTTTATAACATATTTGAATATTACTTATTGATCACGCAAAAGACCATATTATATCGGAAGACCATTACAGTACTTACATATTATCTTAAAGTACTTACACATATCGACCCATTAGCGACCGAACGGTAAAGTTGTTGAACACTGGTAGTTCGGTCCGAGGTTCGAATCATGCAAACGGGCTGGCTGCACGGGCGTTTTGGGGGGTTTTCCTATGTCAAACATATATACGAGCCAGTTTCCTTTAGCAAACCCTCCACGATAGCATCCCTTTCCTTCTACAGATAGCCCTCGAGGATTTGCCGGAATCACATGAATCAAATCAAACTTACATATATGTATTGTACTGGAGGTTGTAAAATGCATTCACTAAGCCTGAAGTTAATCATATTGAATATATCAGTCCTCACCTTTGGAAAGTGTACTTACTGCATGTATTAGTTTTCATAAAAGCAATGCCGTTTGCATAAGAAATACCTTTATAGCATAATGGTACAGGCACCAAATTAAACATATCTGTAATACTGTTATTTCGCAAAATATCAAAATTATATCTCAAAAAAATCCCAGCTTAAATATTTTTGGTTGCCATCATTACGAAAAAAATCAAAGATTTCTCCCTCATTAAAATTATATCTTGATGGATTTTAGGATAATATGGCATACAAAAATTTTTTTCCAAAGTATCCAATACTCTAAAAGAACATTTCACGTAAAACAATTCCTGTCTCCTCAGATTTGGAGGCATTTTCCTTTAATGGGAGTAATCTTTTTTATTGCACTCCAACTTTAGTAATAATCCTTAATTTGATTATTCGTCATCGTATGCTTACAAGCTTGTGCTGTGTTACCATTGTTGCTAAGCCGTTCTTTGTTACTCACTGACATAGGGGCATGGGCGGATACCAGCTGGCTCATGTCTGAGAAAGGAATTAGAATGCATGAGAAGCGAAGAACTTAGAATGGCTATTTTTGCAACAGTACATGTCAAATATGTACATTATTAAGTATCTTCTTTAATGCTGTTTTATGAATATTTTCATTCCAGATAACCTATATTCAGGTTATTCCAATAATATGTTTTAGAATCTCATTTTATTTTATTACTACACATTACTAGACGCTATGCGGCCAGCCTTCGTCTGGCTTTTAAATTGTACCGGAAAAATGTCCAAAGGAACAACAAACATTAAATTTGAAAACTGTACAAAATATTGCTCTGTAGAACAAATTTATCAATAAATAAATAAATAAATAAAAATGCATTACATATAAAAAATTGCAATGAAATAAGCAATATCCCTTAATATAAATCGTAATTATCCTAATAAATAAATTTACCAACTTCCCGTTCCCTTGTCTTGGCAAACGTCCAGTATCCAAGAGAAACATTACATTTAAAAACTACACAAAATTATCGTCCTCATTTTTCCAAGTGGCAGCAGGGCTAATATCAGCAACAATGGCAACAGTGATATATCAGCAACAATGACTGCGTGACCTGGTTGCTAATACAATGAGACAGAGTTATGGATTTGATGCGATTTCATCAAAAACATAAAATAAAAAAATCTGATTCGAATTTTTAAAAAATCGCTAAAAGGTGCTTTTGTTTGATGCACCTATGTACCAAATTTCGTAGCTCTGGGTACATTAGCTTACGCGCAGCACGAACGAAAGACACACACACAGACAGACTCTTCCTTTATATATATAGATTACATGCAAAATTTCAAGGTATATTTATTTTCATAATAATGTGCCAACTCAACGTTGAAGTATTAAAATTTGAATACATTTACATGGTTAAAATTATGTCAATGAATAGATTAACGTGATAATTAAAATTTGTATTGCGCATAAATGATTCAGGTACCTTTTATATATTATAAGGAATTTGATGCTTTGCTTTAATACGGAAGTTAAAATCATATAAGAAAATAATATAATCATATAAGAAAGCTGTTGTGCTAAATTCATTGAATCTTTTATTCTGATATAATGTTTACGATATAGAAACTGAAGATGATGTCTCAACAAAGAGATTCTGTCACAGAGTTTGATTGTAAACATAGAGTTATTAAGTTTATTCTGAAGCAAACAACGTGAAAAATCTGCATTGACCTCGCTGGGATTTGAACTGCGGACCTCACAGTTACTCTTCAGGCGTACTTCCAATTATTCGACGAGAGCATATGTTAACACATAAATCGCTAAAATTTGAAGAAGTGAGCAACCCGCCCCGCCTAACCAAACAAGTTGGTCTTATGGTCATAAGAGGTCACTACCAATACATTATGAGGTGTAGGATGACAGAATTATGTAGAATTTGTGACTAACTGAGTTAGCTAATGCTAAAGTCCCATCTCCATCAGCGCCCGGAGAGGCGTGGAGCTGAAGATGGTGACAGCAGATATATGAAGTTGTGAAGATTGTTCTTTTTACTTTTCTTTTCATATTAATGTAAATAAACAAATGCTAGCTTAGCAATAACTCCATGAGGTACAGTGGTCATCATTAGTCCAAAGAGGCTTTGTCCCTAAAGGACATTTGTTTTCGTTTTGCGAATTTGCGTTGAATCATTATAAATGTCCATTTCACTTTTCAAACTGTAGCCATCAAATGATAGAATTCTGCATTATATTTGAAAAATTAAATAATGAAACATCTGCATAAATATATGCATATTTCTCGCATTGTGATAAAACAACGGTACATAGAGCCATCGAATTTTGAATGACGTAATCCTCCTATGAATACAGGCATGTGGAAGACCAAATTTGGAATTTGTTTTATTATCGGTTTCATATTTTGTAAACCTTTAACGAATTTTTCATTAACAAACTCAACGATTTCAAAGCGAGCAATGGAAACACTCTACGGCTGGGAAAAAAAAAAAAAAAAAAAAAAAAAAAAAAAAAACCTTTTTCTCTCCAAGTGGGCTTGGAACTGTGTATCGAAAATTCTAAAGGTATGCTCATTTTAAAATTATTTTGCGACAATGCTACTGAACTGAATTTAATCGTTTTGGTGCAAAGAACATGATATTAATAAATAAAGGTAACACACAAAACGTTAAAAATGTCCCTTTGGACGTAATTTAAAATCGGAAACCTTTCAGGTATTTTTCCCCCAATGGCAGATTTTGAATAGTTAGAGTGTAACACAGTCCATTAATCTATACAAGGCCAGATGTGGTGGTTTCTTTATTATGGAGGCACCTAATAGGTGCGTCACCATCGCCTCCTATTAAGGGACGGACAGTTACAACCTTCTCCGGGATTCGAACCCAGGGCCTTCAGTGTCGCAGTCAAGCTTCTCTAATCACTATAACGTCTGGGCGTTCAGTGGTCATTATTGTGAAGCTTATTTACGATGGCTTCACAGAAAGTTTACGTAGTAACAGAAATTGGCAGGGTCCACCAGCAGCCGTGCTGTAAAGGCCGCTGAATACTAGTTGTTCGGTCCGGCTTCGAGTCCCGACGAACGGGCTGGCTGCATGGGAGGTTCCGTGGTTTTCCTCATATGTAATGCGGGTACGAGCGAGTTTCCCTTGAGGGATTTTCAACGGTGAATCCTTTCCTTTCGGTGTAGTGCCTAAGGCGCAGCACGTAATAATTAGAAACAGAGATTAGCATATCCGTATTTATGTAAACTTCGGAAATATTAAATGTAAATAATTGTGATGTATATGCTTATATTGTTAATTTATCTACCATTACACAGCTTAAAGAACTATGAATTGTTTTTATCAAATCAACCTGACTTGCTGTGACTGCGGTAATATATATGTATCTTAAAAGTATTGAAATGCATTTGAGTTCAAAAACTTTTATCTTTTCGAATATGGTATATTCACAAAAACAACACACCACACGGCTAACGGTTCAATAGTGATTTAGGTTATGTCTTGTTTTAAATCTCTTGCACATGCGAAAATGTAGAAAAATGTAGAAAAAAATGTAGTTATAAACTTAAATGCACTGTCACATTGATAATATGTGTTTTTAATATTTACCTCCAAATGTTTTCTTAGGTGGAAGCAAGCTACCGTACGGTGATCGTCAGTCCGTTGACCAGAGAGGAACAGTACGCATTCATAGTGTCAGGAAAGAGGATGAAGGAATTTATAAATGCGTTGCTACGAATGGTAGAGGAGAAAAAGCAGAAAGGCCTCTTGTTCTGAAAGTTGTGAGTAAGTACAAAAAGACATAACATATTACTTGGATGAAAGAATAAAACAACCTTTTGATACACTATCAGAAGTACCGTAGTTGCTGGCGTATAAGACGCACCGGTTAATAAGACACACCTTTTTTATACACGTTTTTGAAGGATAAAACTTTGATTAATGATCATTAGAATAAATTTACAGTATGTCAGATATAAACTAATACGAATACAAAGTAATACTTTCTACAAATACCCAATCAATCTGGAACAGAACACCTTTTAATATCCTTTGTCAAAACCTACATGCTCATTTCCAGAACTAAATGAAGAGTCTTTTGAAACCTCTTCGAAATCAGCATCTGAGTCCTCATACAACAATTTGTCCTTTGCTCCATCCAGTGCATTACTTATGCCAAACTTCTTCCATGATTTAATCAGTGTCTCTCTTTTCACAGCATCTCATGAAGCTTTGATCCATCCACAAACGACGTATAAGACCGTTTTTCAGACCTATTTTCAAAGCAAAAAGTGCGTCTTTTACGCCGGCAAATACGGTAAATAAATATTTATGGCAATATTAAATTATATGATTTTGACAGTCTCTTTTAGGCATTTTCTATATTAAGAATCATGCGTCCCCATTAACAATAATGTAAGGAAGCTCGTATTTTGACGTAAGAATTTCATTTGATTTTCCCAGTGCTAAAAAAAATTTAATAAGCAAATCGACTAGGAAACAGAAATATTAATTGAAAGAATATTATTCGTGTAATTAAGAGAAATCCAAAGTAATTTAGAAACCCTTTCCTACTGGAAACTTCCCCGACACGAATTATGCATTAAACCAAAATAAACTAAATACGATCTATAAAAATGCAAAAATAATACTAAAAATGCAAGTAAATATTAAGTTTTAATTTAACTTACCATATATCTGATGATATTTCTAAAGTATAGAAGACGAAATTTCTGAAGTATTTCGAAAGAGTAATTTATAAAAAGATAATAAATAAGCAAACTAATCTTAGTATAATATAACAAGTACTATTTCTTTAAAACAAAAGTAGAAGCAAGCCAATAGACGAGAAAATAACTGTTAGGTATTTTTGAAGCAAGAGACGTGTAAAATATTCAGTGGCCTATCCGGAACTCGAACTAGGACCTCTCGATTACGCGTCGAGCGTGATACCAGTTACACCACGAAGGCATGCGAAAATGGAAGGACAGAAACTTTATGAATATTTCATAATTTTGATTGAAACATTTCTTAAAAATTGGCTTTAATGACCAATGTTTTAATACTATAATGAAATATGATTACATTGAAGTATATTAAATACCTTATATTTGTTTAAATCTCATAGCAATAACCAAGGGCGCTTCAGAAAAGTTATTAATGATTCGATATTTAACATTTAAATTAGTCTTCCATTTTAATTTCAGTGGTGCAATAATGAACATCATAAACGTAATGATAAGGAACACATAAAGAATAATTTTATATTTTATCCAATAAATGCGTCAACGAATTGGTGATGTGAGTAAGGTAATTTTGAGATGATGTTTGACTGTGCGTAGTGGCTGCTCAGGTCCCCCACTGGAGCGTCAGAAACTCATAGACTGTGTAATCGTAGAGCTAGACGTGAGATTCCCCCTATCTTGTCAACGATGGGATGATAAACGGATGTAACAACGCCTCAGCACCAAAATTATAATACAACTTAGAAAAACAGCTATTTTAGGAAATTCATGAAATATTAAGGACGCTTTATGGAAATAATGACCTGAAGAAAACAAAAGGGAGACCTTAACTTTAAAATTGTCGAGAAAAAATCAAGCTCATATTATCCCCCCTTTGCAACCAAATGTATTTGATGGTGATGAATGCTGCTGCGTCACGAAAATGCATCTGTCTACAAATATATGAATGTCCAAAGCCCTCGCCGGGACTCGAACCTGGACCTTTCGAATAAGCGCCGAGTGTGCTACCGTTACATCACGAAGACATGCTGGAAAGAGGGAGAAATTACTTCCTATACTTCCTCTCTTAATTGGCGCCTGGGGATTACGGGATCCAGTAGCCAAATCTTGGTGGTGAGGAAGTATCGTCCACCACCTTTCCGGCGAGGTAGCTGAAGATCTTGACTTTTGAGAACTTTGAAATGAGTGTATAGCTACTAATGGGGAACATATTGAAGGAGATCAGATCGATGTAGCATCTTAAATTATCTGAGGTAAATTTGTATGATCTCATTTCCGTATTTATTGGATAAACTATATGTATGACCAATTCAACAAAAGTTGGTAACTAGATATGGATTTAGTGCACTTAAATGCAAATGATAGAAACATACACTTGGATTTCGTAATTTTAAGAAAGTAGTTATAAAATAAACCGTTTAAATATTTTAAAGAAGAGCAGGTAAAGAACAATTATTTTATAAATTCAGCGAAACTAGGGATCAATCATATAGCTACAGCTTTTTTTCTTAAATATCTGATCATCATGGGGCATTTAAATGCTGATAAAATATTCCTTTTCAAATGCATACTTTAAAACAGAGTAAGTTTCAATAACTTTTTTTGCAAACATTCAATTTCAAAATGCAAAATGTGAAATTGTAATACTAAAATACGATTGTCTGGCGGCACAGATTTTACCATTAATTTTTTATGAACACATTATGAATTTAAGGATGATATTTTACCAATCGGGTAAAAGTTTCATATTGCTTTCAACTATATATTATTATGGTTTCCTAAAGGTCTGGTACCTAAAAGGTTTCCTACTCTGTTGACAAAACACTTAAAATTTTCTAACAACAGTAATATACTAATATCAATAAGCCCTGTACATTTGCGTTGTGTTTTCGGATTAACCCTGAAATCAATTTGAGAATGAGACGGGTGAAAATCATGAGCACACACACATACACAAAAAAAAGAAATAAATAAACATTGACTGATCTAGAAAAGTGAGCCTATTTATTAAATTCTTCAAGAATTTACTTAATCCATTAATTCGTAGGCAATTTATATTCAATCAGAACTGTTAACATATTAATGATTACACAATGCAGAATTAACTTAGTAAGCAAATTATATTCAAGCTGAACTGTAAAATATTGCCTTCTACAATGCATACCCCTACAGAGTAATATTACTTTTATCTTAGACTCAATAATATCAAACTATTATTTCTATTACATTCAGGTAAACATGATCAGATAAAACTTTGGATAAATTAACAATACCCTCCCCGGGGAGAAAAAAAAAGAATAATTAACAAGTTATACTTTCCAAAAAAACATTTCACACAGAATAATCAATACCAATGTAATTCAGGTTATTGCACATAGTAACTTTCTATTTCCAAAAAGAATGATTTAACCGGTTAATATGTTAATTAAAATCAGGCTATTACAACCTACAAGCAATTTAATCCTTAAGAGGAGCAAAGAAGCTCAAATAATGACACCTTTACCAATGAATCTTCACCATGAAAGAAATTCACAAGGTCAATTAAATAATTTAATGAAGAATATATTTCCTTAACCAATCTAACTAAGTTACATTCACTGTTTCAATTAAATAATTTAAATAAGGATATATTTCCTTAGCCAATCTAATAATTTACTTTATGGACAAACAAAATGATTTCATTAGAATTAGGTTAATTTACTCAACTACAATATTTTAATTCAACTAATTAAGTTATTTCAATCACTATTAACTATTTTAGTTATTAGAATTACTATTATAATTTACTATTAGAATTTTTTTTTTTTTTTTTTTTTTTTTTTTTTTTTTACATCAGACCAACAAAAAAAAGACTTATCTGAGGAATCACAGGCTGCAAGTGAATAGGAGGAGGAGAAATACCCTCATATTTAAAAAAATTATCAAGATGCCAAGGAGGACGGCTACCCAGCGTGGTAGAAAAGAGAAGAGTTCATATGTAGATGGATTTTCAATGGAGTCCAGAAGTTTCTAATTGATTTAGGATGCACTAAGGAGGTTCTCAGATCCTCTGATAGTTGATTTACAATCCAATATTGAAGTTAGTCGTTGTTCCAGTTAGGTGATTCATTATGTAGTAGCGACCCCGGAGCTAGCAGTGACGGAGTTTCTTGCAGGGCGGAAAATAATTCTTAAAGGCGTGAAACATCGAGGCAGATGAAAACTTTATTCGTGGAGGAGAGACTAAAATTTTCTTCTTAACGGCACCAGTACCAGGCATCACCCTTCGTTGCATTTTTCTATTTTAATTATCTTTTGAGTAACTTACATATTCAAACACAAAAACTGATGAGACTATAATTTAGTCGAGGTCATGACGCATATAACTAAGTCCCTCGTTCAAAACTCAAGGGCAAGAAGCCCGTAGATCCAAAGGCGGAAAAATGCATTTTCCAAAATAAAATTCAGCTGCCCGGACTGCCTAGTTGGCATAACCCACTCTTCGCCGAAAGTTAAAATAGTTGCAACAACAGCATACCCTCATGTTATCAAACTCGCCAAAACCACTACTTTGAAACCTCAACGGAAAATCTATGTCGCCAAACCCTCGCCAAAAAAAAACCACCTGTGACAAGGGGAAATTAGGAATTTCAACAACCCTGCAAGGGTCCCAACGAAAGAACGCTGAAAACTCGCAAAAAGTGACTTTTCAACCGGAAGGAAGGCATTTCATCCCCCTTTAACTAAATCACAAGCGAAACGAAGAAAAATCTACTAATTAAAGCTCATAACTGAAATGCAATTAAAGTTAGAAAAACGAAAGTTATGCCAAATTAAAGAGCTAATTTTTCTGCAACTAATGATATTAAATACTAAGAAATCAAATTAATTTTTGACATGAAAAACTGAGTTTATTACGTGAAAATATTCACCTATCCATTGTTTGCGTGTACAAGATTGAAGACGCAGTTCGCGTAAACTCGGAAAGCCAAAATATATTACACTAGAATTAATAGGCCCAAAAAGAATATAACCAAACTTGTGTAGCTCAAATTTTGAATA